GGTTGTCAGGAAATTCAAGCTTACTTGACCAGTGCTGCTCAGTACTCCTAGATAGACTTGGTGAGGAGGAGGCGGTGAGGTTCCCTGCCGGTCAGCCAGTGCCAGGGCTTGGGCTAGTACAGACGCGGCAGGTTGTCCGTCTAGAGTGTACAGGATATTGGAAGAGGCGCTATCAATAAACTCAGTCCTACTCTTTTTGCCACGGTCAAGGTCAAGGTGAGAGGGAGGAGGGAAGGGTGGCTCACTTGGTCACGGTCTGGGGACCGCCTAATGGTTCCAAGTGGGAAAAGCGAATGTCGACGCGGGGTTTGGGTGCGGGGTTAAAGAGGGTGATTCCGAGGGCACCAGTCGAGTGGAAAGAGCCGTTGTGGTAGAGCGTGAATGGTCGGCCGGTGATAAACGGAGTCGACGATGCAATTAGACCGAGCTAATCATTTATCAGTTGTGTAGATGCACCATGGATGGGTCTCACCTTTGGTGCGTGAGGAAAGAAATAGGAGAGCGAGGTTTCTAGGCCTTCTGGCGCATCGTCCGAGAGGTACAAAAAACTCGAGGGACTGGAAAAGGTTAGCAAGTATCGTGAATATGACGATCACTCACGTTTGATCAAGGTTCTGTAGAGACTCTGGAAGAGGTGGAATACGTGGTATTTTGGGAGACGATTCGGCCCATTCGAGATGATATGGTTGAAAGTCGCGCTCATTATCCGCAGAAATTTGTTCAGGCGAGTACCACCTCCCCACTTGGGCCTTTTCACGACCAGGAGTCGTCGACCGCCACACCTTGTGCCGCACCTCCTCCCCTAGAGAGAGAAGAGAGAGACTAAATGGGTATGTATTCGATACACGCTCGGATAGACATCCTATGATGTTGGACGAAGAGAGTTTGGCAATACCGTTGAATACGGACTCGAGGTTGGAAGTCGGTGCATGGAGAGCGAAAAGTGTTGTCGATGATTTTGTGACGTTTAGAGATTGAAGGTGGGTTAGGATGGCCCGTTCGGATTGAGCGAGGATGGTAAGTGCGCGCAAACTCATTTTTCAAACTCCGCCACCACTTGACGAGCCGGACGTAGCGTGCATATCATTTCATGAATATTGTAACAAACGACTGGAATGCCCAAAGGAATGCTCAATAAGTTCAGGCGACCATCTACCATGGCATTCGATGAATCCACATTGGCGACTTGACCAGAGTTGTGCTAGAACCAGAGAATTTCGTCAGTCAAAGGTCATTTTCACATTGTGAAAGAGTTCTTACCAATGCTATAGTGTATAAACGAGTGGGGAGTAGAGGATTTGGATGAAACGATGGCGTAAATGTGATCACCTTTTTATATTGTATACTTCTAATGCGCGACCACTCAGCTATTGGACGACTACCGAAGGTATTAGAGTGGGCGGCCATTCTCAGGGGTCGAAATAATTCTCTTTGTATAGGTATAAACTGATTACGAGCATTCAAACCGGTGATTGGAATACATAGCGAGCTGTGTACAAACCGGAGAAAGGTACTCCGGCTGGCTTGGCTATCTCTATTTTGATCTAGTCGAATGGCTCCGATCGAGCTATTGTATAGTATAAGGTCATCGAGATAGCCTGTTTATTGCGCTTGCGTCAAAGTGGATTGGAAATTCTCGCTCATAAGTAGCTGACTGGTAGTAACCAGTTGATTACTGTTGATTACGAATAAAACCCTGCTCAATATAGCGCGAAGATTACGTACCAGAAACGTCGTTATTCCAGTCCTATAAACTATGAGTCATTGAGGGCAAACTCATTTTCAAACTCCGCTACCAGTAGAGGAACCAGAGGAATCTCTGAAGCTGAAATGCATGCATATACCGTGAAACACGACTCAAATACCCAAAGAAATGCTGGATGATACATGATATCGAAGAGACGCGGGCTCGATAGCCCGATGTCTATCGGACACTCAGCAATTGCAGAGTGCAATGCAACACAGACATGCCATAAACGCTTGAAGGCATACGAATGTTGAGTCGCAACATGAGCCAGGTCCACTACAACTGTTACACTGGCAGGACGGGCTCCCTTCTTCATCTTCCAAGTCCTTGATCGTCGGTGGTGGCGGATAAGCACCTTCCTCCATAACAAGAGTACGGGCGTCTCCTTCATCCGTTCTCGGTGTGGGATAAGCGCTCTATGGCGAGTCAATACTATGTGCTTCGTGCAAATGTACACATACCGTTGGATTCAGTCGACCATCATTCATGGAGTTTAGGGGATATGCATAGACATATTGATCGGAATTAGGTTGAACCTGCCAAATTTTGTCAATCGACGGTCGTCTTTGGAGTTCAAGAAATTCCTACCGATGCCATGGGGTATAGAACGAGTGGGAGGGGATGAGTTTTGGTGAAAACGGATAGGACAAAAGTTTACACCTATTTATATCAGACAACGGTCGCTTCTTTACGCGCGGTCCCTCAGCGACCGGACATGGTGCCCCGGGAATTGGACAGGATGGCTATTCTCAGGGAGATGTATATTCTCCATGCGTATATGTGGATAAATTGAATCGATTGCGACCATCGGAAGAAGTGTTTAGAATACGTAAAGTGCTGTATACACGATGAGCTGGACGCAGTGGTGAGAAGTTGTCTCGGCTGAACTGGTTAAGTCCGCCATTTTGGTCCCGTTGAATACGTGTCAAGTTGTTGCACGATATAGGGTTGCCAAGCTTGTGAATTTCCGCGCTTGCGTTGCTCTTCAACTTCTTGGACCGCATTGGAAGCATCTCGAGCGATCAGAAGGCATCTATTTAACTGAGGTTAATGTTGTTTTGTTCCTGAAAGAGAAGAGTTTGTCGCTCTTGATAGTAAACAAGTCAGCTTTCTGTAAAACTCGAAAGTTCAACTCACTAGTAGCGAGCTCCGCCGATTCAATGAGTTCTTGCATGGTCTCTTTATCCATTTTGGGAACTGGCGTATGTATCGGGGTCGTCCTGCCAACTCTCCCTGTGACCATTGCTTTTTGAAGGGTTTGCCGTACGTCGGCACTATGCATGACCCCGAGTTTCGAGGATTTAGTTCCCTGTGATGCATCCCGCTTTCCAGTTTGAGCGGTACGCATCATATTTGCGAGCTATCGAAAGGTCGAAAAATTGCTGTCGAAAACAAGTTGGTCGGTCACATGACTATGTGTTGACGACTCACGCAAGACCAGTCTTGCTAAAGTGAACTGAGTCTCCAGCATATAATACATGCATTACAATAAGAATAAGCGTCATCAAGCTATCAGAGCCCTCGATTTGTTCGACCATGTCTGCTGCGTCGAGACAGAGACGGCATACGGCCCTTCGTACGCTTACATGAATAGAGGAATGGAAAGAGCTGTACAGAACTGTACTATGAGGCCATATGGGATGGTAGGCAAATGTTGAAAAGAACAGGCCCAAACGCGTCAATCTCATGAATGTTGTAGACCTGAACATCGTCAAAACTACCACTAATGGACGATAAAGTCAAGTATAGCACGCATTGGTACATGTCATGGGCCAAAATACATGCATCAGCTCGTACGTGCTACAGCTTCATTCGATCGTCACACCATGTCGATTCACACAGACTGACATGCACACGAACTCGATGACAGGTAGATTATGATGTATATCGCTCATTTGATTATAAATACATCGACTTGGGCTGTTTTCCTCGTCATGGGAGCAAGTCAGGCTCCGGATATCTCAAAGAAACGCGTTAGAATGACACATAATCCAACCAGACACCCAAAATCAACCTACCTAGACAATATTAAGTCAAGGTACAACACGTTCCAATTATTGCTAATTTTCTTGTTCCTTCACTTCTTGTTCTTGGTATTCTGACCAGTCGTTTTCTTATTTGTAGCTTTGGCCGGGGCCTTGATTTTCTTCTGAATTATACAGGCTAATTAGCGCGCTCTAAAGCGTATTGCGGTTTGGGCAACATGACTCACGACAGGCGAGGAGGCAGAGGTTGTTGTTTGGGTATTCTTAGCAGTGTGTTTCTCCAGAAACTTAAAAACCTCTTTAAGTTCTTGATGCTTCTCAACGCGCTGTCCAGGCGTTTGTTTTAAACGAGTCGTCAGGTTCACCGTTATATTGGTCGTGACCATAGACTGAGTTGAAGAGACGTTCTTCGTAGTCGAGGCTTTCTTTGCTGCGGGTTTCTTTGCTGCAGGTTTGCTTGCACTCGCTACACGACCCATCTTGATAGGATAAGAAGTAACAGGCTCAACGAGATAGGTAGAATCCAGAAGGTACAGATCACGTGATTATTGTGAACATCAAACATCAATGGCCTAGGGATAATATTCCCATTAGAATAGCGATAGACTTATGTTCTGGATCGAACTATACACGCAATTTTTCGTACACGCCGATCTATACTAAATGTCAAAATGTTCGTCGAGCGTTCTCTTACTAAATTGAATCCACCTGTTCACTTCCCCAGGATACGTTCTGTAGTAAACACGGAGATCACAATTCATGAGTGGAGAGACCTTCTTCTCGCATTTGAGGAAGTGCTTGGTTTCGCCACGAAATTCCACAAGTTCATCGGCCCTCTGGATGCATTGTATGTGGGCAGTATGGAAGAAACCGTAACTCACAGGGCGTCATTGCTGAAGTTCAATTTAGTGTTTTCGTTTTTCGGCGGTTTTCAGTTCGGCGGATAGCAAGCAAAGCTTTAAAGGAATGGGCGTTGATCCTGGCCTATGATCTGAGTAAACCCAAATAACATCAATACGGCCATTTATCAATAGCAATTTGTATAACATGCGCTGACACCCGTTATAGGTCAAAATACACGCTTCATTTCACATACGCTACACGTCCAACCTATCGCCACCCAGTGTCGATCCGCATAAACACGGCCGAAAGCACATATGTCGAATAGATTATGATAGAAATCGATAGATATTGCTCTTATGATTAACGAGACATTGACCTAAGTTGTTTTCCTCGCTGTGGAAGTAAGTCAGGCTCTGGACCTATCAAGGAAACGCGTTAGAATGACGTATAATCCAATTAGATAGACGAATCCAACATAATTCTGACCTGTGTGTAAGCACAACGCGCCCTAATTATTGGTAATTCTCTTGTTTTTCCGCTTGTTCTTGTTCTTGTTCTTCTTATTCTTCTTGCTATTCTGACCGAGCAGATTATTATTTATACTCTTGAATAAACCCTTTATTTTCTTCTACATCCCGTCAACTAGTCAGCGCAGCGTTCCCGAGCGTCCTACGGTTTGACAACATGACTCACAGGTGAATGGGATATCTGGACATGCTTGGCAGAGCGTTTCTCCGAATAGTTATAGCTCGCTTGAAACTGTTGATGCTTCTGAATGCGCTTTCCAGTCGTACACTTTAAGCTAGTCATCACCTTCATCGTCACATGGGTCGATACAGTGCAATGAGTCGAAGAGACGTGCTTCGAATTTGAGGATTTATTTCCTGAACGCTTCTTTGAACGACCCATCGCTATAGGATAGAAGGTAACGGGCTGGACAGGATAGGCAGGATCCAGAAGGCGTAGGTCACGTGATTATCGTCAACTTCATACCTCAACTTGGTGTAGGAAAGCGTAGGAATGATATTACCATCAGAGTAGTGATAGAAATATATCCTGGATCACGCTGCACACTTGATTTTCTCGTATACGCTGACTATTCTCGTCCTCACCCAGTGTCGAAACACTGATCGATTCGACTACTCGTTGCTTTGCGTCCTTTTTCTCTCGTCGAGTACGGGGTTCTTCTCGCATCTGGGCACGAGTATGTTCTCTCCCTAAATTGAATGGGCAGATCAGCTTAGGACCTCTTCTGTTGCATACATGGAGATCATAACTCACGAGCTGCAATAACTGGTGATTCAGCATAACATCCTCTTCCATTTATGTAACGCCATTTGAACTCTTTGCATGCAGGAAAGCATTTCCCAGTCGTCCTTCTGATGAAGTTGGTCACTATCCGAGTTTCCAGAGAGTATCCTCGAACAATTTGGGAAGCTGACCGGCCCCTACTACTGTATTCGATCCCTTTTTGTTAGTAGTCAATTTTACAATGGCGAGCGGAGGACAAAAGTTGGGTTCACGTGACGTGACATCGACCCACCACTTCGAACTCTATATGTCAAAGAACAACGACGCCAAGATTGAGAAGTTATGACCTTTATTACAGTCCTCGGAAGGTACGGGGTAATATGAGTTCTGAACCACCTACCTATGTGATAAGGAACCTCGCCAATCACAGAGATTCCACAGAAACATAATCGCAGAATTGAAAAGATCAAGATAATGAAGATAAGGAATGAAGATACAGTAGAAATCATGTTCGTTAGCTCGTGATTCCATTATCTACACGGCTATCCTACTAACTTGCACAGGTAACGCACATCAAAAGACAGACGCTGATGAGTTGAAAGCATGAGATACATGCTTCACATACACCACCTCCCGTCTCTTTTTCCACCGCAGGGGACTGTTGATCTTGTGTAGTGGGCTCTCCTCCCTCCTTTTCTGCTGCTACTGGTGCGTTGATTTCCACCTTTTCATCTTGTATCGGTTTTTCGGGACTCTATTGGGCATTAGAGGCCAGTGTGTATACGCCAAGAGAACGCAGAGCCTACCGCTGGGTTCGCTGCATTGTCGATCAATTGCATTGTGTTCGGCTGATAGACATTTCCGCCATGTGTGGTCTTTTATAGATCCAAATTCGTCAGCGAACGAGGACTCGGCTTGTGCAACAATTTTTATACCGTAGACATGGCTTATGGGATGATTGGAAAACGAGATAAGGACTTTTAGGACGACCTCGCCACCAGGCACCGTCCTGTCGATCGGCCGGGAGCTATCGGAGTTGAAAATCAGGCAACTTGTAAACACATCTCATCTCCTTCCAATTGGAACCTACATGAGAGGCGGGTTTGGATCCTCTATCCCATGATTTGAGGAGCAAGAGCAGGTCATAACGCTCGGCTAGCAATGGGCTGGTCACACGAGTTGCGGGCCAAATAAAAACGATTGTGGTGCAAAAGTTGATGCTATTAGGCAGATATACACTACTAACCAAACGATTATCGCCTGCGATGGGTATAGTTACGACCCAAAAAGAGGTCAGCAGTTACAGCTACTGCAAATAAAACAGCAGCAGAGACAGCCTCCGAGGAACTGGAAGAATCCGGTACACGCTTCGTATGGAGATGCCTGTCCACATCTTCCGCAACTACAACAGCTACAGCAGCAGCCGTCGTCGCAGTCACACCAAGGTTCCCTATCGTCGTATTCGGCAAAGGGGTCGGGTGTCTGGACTGTCATGTTACGTTCCATTTCATCGTAGGATTTGGCATAGGTTTGATCTCCATAAGAGCTATTCTGAGGGTTCTGAATAAAGTAAGAATTGGCGTGTCCCTAGGAGCGGTGTCCGTACCATTGAGTCTAGCCGGGTATCGGACATTGCAGTCGGAGGATACGCATAGTCGTTTGACTCGGTATTCTAGTGAAGAGGTGCGTCAGTATGAAGCCAAGAGCTGTTCAAGTCGCCTTACAGTCGTCATTTGCACGAAAAGGAGAGTGGGTTGACGGAAGGAGTGGAAGGAAAGGTTGTAGATACCAACTCACCACCTGTTTAAATCCACTTAGCCATTGTCGAGATTGTCAGAATTCATCCGCGCCTTGTAAAGAGGACAACCGACAACCAGCCTCTCTTCAAAAGGTGGACCGGATTTCTCTCGCGTAGTCGTGGACGGACCACTCTATCAACATTCCCGGCTGGCGGATAAATTTCCAACAAACCGGATGTGCTGAGTGATAAAACATGACCCTTGCATTCCGACGGTAACTAGGGTCATCCGCCACATCCTTGTCTTACATCTCTTGTCATCGTAAATGCCTCAATCATGTCAAAAACGACAAACAATGCACTAATGTCAAACTAAACTTTATTCACTCACCGTCGAAAGCGGGTTTGTAAATGGAAATGGAAATGTTCCAGCACGGATGGGCGTATGACCCTAGTTACCGTCGGAATGCAAGGGTCATGTTTTATCACTCAGCACATCCGGTTTGTTGGAA